GTCCAGCTGCAGCGTGGTGTCTGCGACAGTGTGTGTAGACACGTGGTGGAAGAGGCATAGCCTCCCCAGCACACGTGGCTTTATCTTCCCCAAATCTTCTGGAGTAGAAGGCATTACTGCTGTTGCATTGCGAGCACTGAGGTCTTTGTGAGTCAGACTAATTTGAGTTCAAAGGGAGCTACAAAGGTTTCTGGTCCATGTCTTTCCTCAAAGAAGGGTGAGGTTAGAACAGATCACTTAGAATCTTGTCCACTAAAATTCTGGAAATCTCCAAGAAAGGAGGAGTTTAACAACCTGTTCAGGTAACATGCTCCAAATTGTGACTATCAAGATTTGTAGATATTTTCTTTACTGGCAGAGGTAAGTGACTTGTTGAAACTGCCTGAAAGCCAAGGCAAAATTGAATTTGGATCTGAGTTCGGATCTGGTCCTCACGGGGAGGCCCAGCACTCCTGGACACTGAGAGGGATCTTCTTGTGTGATCACACAAGCGGTTGGGGCTGTGATACAGCTGTTTCTCTGCTTTCTTTTAGGTATGATTCTCACGTTAAAGGCTATGGGGCTTCAAAGATGTGTTTTCCTGGGGCCACCAAAGCTGGTAAGTAGGGGAAGCTTGCAGAAGGGAGACCAAACCCTTCAAATGTTGAAGCTTACTTTGGTATTGCGAGAGCTGGCATCAAAGCAGTGAATCACTGTACAGGTGCAAAATGCTGGTCTGAGTTAGTGCCAGCCTGAAGGTTTTGCCAGAAGGGCTGTCTTGAAAAAGCAAATCCCTTCACACACAGGACAGCATCAAACTTCTGCTCCTTAAAGCTGTCTTGTCAGCTAATATTCTGGTAAATCACGTTTTGGAAAAAGGGCATCCTTTGTTCTCTCTGCTCCCTCCTGATGTTCTTTTAATAGAAACTTGGTCTCTGATCTCCTGCTTGACGTGATCCTTGCCAGCCTAATGCTGTGTCATCCTGGAGGTGGAACGCTTGCCCAGTGCTTTCTGGCTGGCTGTGTGTTGCCCAGTTTTGTTTGAATGGGCTTTGAGCCTTTGACTTCACTAAATGTAACTGTATCTCCCAAAAGTGGTGCTTGTAATGGCACTGCTTGGGCATGGCCTCCTGATAGACTGTCTCTTTTCCAGCAAAACTACTTGAAAGCGATTCGACTCTTTCCTGGGCCCCTAAAAAGGATGGATTTAGGTATGTTGGTCAGTGATGTGTAGCTAATATGAACTTGTAATTTTTTTTCTTTCAGCTGTAGCCAAAGTTGCATTGAACAGTAACAACTTCAGAATAAATGCCTCTGGTTTAGATCCACGGAAAGAAAGTTTTAAACGTTTGTTTTGATCTGATACACTGCTCAAATCTGTTGCAACAACTGCCTGGAAGAAAAACAATGTTTCCAGCTCAGTTTCTGCTTCTGTCTGACTAGGAGACCACATTTAGTTTTAAAGCACTATAAAGGCAATTTGCTTCTGGAGTCTGCCAGTAAACTTGCTTCCTGTAGTATCATGGACTACTTTTTGTGGATGATGGACTTTTGAGAACTTTAATTATTCATTGATCTTTGCAGTTGAGCAGAGAAAAGGAAGGGAGACATCTGGCAGGTTTTATTTAAGAAAGAAAGAAGATATTTTCCTGATTTAAGTTCTTGTAGAGTATGAATCTCATGAACTTGTTAATGCTGGTTTCTGTTCTCTTTCCAGCTGTGCAGCTGCACACAGAGCCTGAATATAAGGACGAGACGATGACAGTCTGCCAAATACCTCTTACAGGTGAGCACATGACACTGTAGTCAGACAGGAGAAACACTTTTCAGTAACCGTGCTTCAGGTGGTTAAAGGAGCGGCTTCTGTTTGGAAACCTGAGTAAGGAGTGGTTTATTCATTTGCATGTTTTTCCCAGGAGAAGGATCTCTTTCAGAGAAACATGATGTGCTGAGTCAAGGCCATGGTTTGTTCCTTTAGGTGTGGGTGTATACAGTGACACGTGAAACATCACTGGATTTGGCTTTCTTAGCCGACTGAGTTTTCTTACTGCTGGAAACTGGGATACTTAGAGTACAGGCACAGACTTGACAGAGTTTAGCGATTTTGAGAGAATCTGAACGATTTGGATGACGGATAGCTCTTGAAATAAGTGACTGGAGTATGCAAGCGGAAGTCAGACTGGGGGGATGAGTGGTGCGTTCTGATGCATTTTAAACGTGACTGTCGTGGAAGAGAGAATGCTGCTCATGCTTTTCTTGTCTGTGCCTTTTGATTGAGTGATCTTTGTCTGGTTTTATTGGATTTGGGACAGGAAAACCACTAGCTACTGAAGGTACATTGCCTCAGAGTCCTGGAGCACCAGTCCAAGGTGGAAATAGCCCTAAAGGGGACACAGGGCCTGGGTCCCCAGGAGCTGCGCAGCAGAACTTGGAGGAGAGCAAGGAAAAAGAAAGCCCAAAGAAAACAGGTGAAAAAAATGGATTTACCTTTTTTGGCTTTAATGAAATAATGCCAAATTAAGGATATGCATTTGTCCTCTGAGCTGTTTGCTCTCTGGAAGTGAGATCTGTAGAGAAGCTCATCTGAAAGATTACATGGAGCAGAATGAGTTCTGATACTTTGGAAGTTGATGAAGACCTAAAAATTGGACGTGATTCTTACTTGGGGTGTGATTATTCCCTGTAGTAGTTTGCCTCTGGCTCGAGTAGGTGCTCCAGCCTTTGTAATTTAATTAAAAGTGGATGTTGAGGTTGATTATTTTTTCAGTCTGGTTTCTTGTGGCTGAAACTTGGGGTGTCTGGCCTTAGGGCTTGTAACATTTTTCTGCTGGGCTCCAAGCTGGCTGGCTGATGTTCCTGTTAATGCTTTAGCAAACATTGACACATTTTGGCTTTAAGAAAAATGATAGTCGTGATTCTGAGTAGTTCTGCTTTCTTTTACAGGTGACCAACAGAAGTGTGAAAGCAGACATCCTGATCTGGTGATGGCTTTCCTGTGTAAAGTAAGCTTGGACACAAAGATCTCTAAATCAATGCTGAATAGAATATAGAATAGAATAAATATTTCAGTTGGAAGGGACTCTAGTCCAACTGCCTGACCGCTTCAGGGCTGACCAAAATTAAAGCACATTATTAAGGGCGTTGTCCAAACACCTCTTAAACGCTGACAGGCATAGGGCATTGACCACTTCTCTAGGAAGCCTGTTCCAGTGTTTGACCACCCCCTTGGTAAGGAAATGCTTCCTTGTGTCATTAGGACATTTCATCTTGCTGAATAGATTTAATTGGAGATGGGATTTTCAAGCAGGACTTTGAAGCTATTTTGTGATTCTACTTTTCAAAGGTAACTGTAGCATGAGTAGGAATGTATGAAAACTAAAGACAATTTTTTGAAAGCGTTCTTTATAGAGCAGCCAATTAAGAGTATACAGGTTCCATTCTTGCTTAATGCTTACAGTAGGGAAGTCTGTCCTGCCTACTTGGCTAAAGAAGGGAGCAAGAAGCAGCAGCGTGATCTTGGAAATCAGAAAGTCTAGTAAAAGATTTTGGGGGATAAATTAGACTAGTGTCTGTGGAATTGAAAAGAAAAAATTTCCCTTGACTTGTGGGGAAACACTTAAACTGGAAGTATGTGGATCTTGTTTCCTGGCCCTCTTTATTTGGGTGATAATTGTGTTTTATTTAACTCTTTTCAGATTCACCCAAAGAAGGGAAAATTCCTAGCAGCTAAAGCACAAGAGATGGGCCTGCCAGTGTGAGTACAAGATCACAGCCTGGCAGATGGGGCAACACCAGGCATGTTGATGTTGGCAAGCTGAATATTTTTGTTTTTAGGGGAACTCCAGCCATTCTTCCCATAATTACAGCTCTCAAAAACGGGGAGAGCATCACTTTTGAAGGCAGAGAGGTAAGATGTATCTGTGCTTTCTGCTGTGGCTTTGCCATCTTTTCTCTTTTACTGGGCTCCTGGGGTGACAGTCTTTCTGTGCAGATTGTTTACCTGCCATTAGATATTGGGACTTTTTTTTTTTACATCTGTTCTTGAAGCAAGCATGGGTGATGATTGTCTGCTTCTTCCCTCTCGTCCCTGCTAAAAGACTGTCCTGGGTTTTGCTGGTTTTGAGCTTTGAGTGGCTGCTTTCGGTTAGTGAGTGGTCCCTGTTCCAGGCCCAAGTTGGTGCTGAATGTGGCTCCCGTGGGAGCGTGCCTGGGGCTGTTGCAGGGGTGTGGTTAGGGAAGTACACTCTGAAATGAATTGATTTCTGAGTATGGCTGAATGTCAGAGCTGCTTCATCTCCCCTTCCCAAAGCTGATACAAGTCTAGAAGTGAACTAATGGAGTAATCCCTGCATGTTTTAAATCTGGGGTTTGAATGCCTGTGTTGCTATCGCTTCCTCCTTACTCTGTTTGCACCTCAACGGTTCCTGTGTGCAGGGTCTTAATCTCTCAAACGCTAGTCTGAAGTGAGGCAGAGCCAGCTCTGGCCATGTCCCAGATGATCTTAAGTGAAGATCCTAACCTGGGAAATAGGGTTGACATATCTTTGTGTCAAAAGAATTTCACAAAGCCTTATTTTCTTAAGCATGCTTTTGCTACCATCTGACTGAATCTGCTGTGGGAACCTAGAAGTTGCTAAAATTCCCTTCCTCACAATTAGGTTGTGGTTTGCTCTGAGATCAGGGTTGGGATTTGTTGTTACACAGCAAAATGCAAACTTGTTTAATGAGAACAGAAGGTGAACAAGAACTGCACTGTCTGAGTTTGCTGAACATTGAGAGAGCCTGCTGGGGGTGGCTGATAGAACAGCTGCCGAAAGAGTCGGACGTAATGATGCGAGAAGGGCTGTGTGTGTAGGCTGACTGTGGTGTGATCCTTGTGTATCTGCCTGCAGCTCTTGCCTGAAGAACTCTGCACCCCGACTGATCCTGGCCCGGTGTTCATTGTGCTGGAGTGTCCTCATGAGGGCTTTGTGGATGCCGTCTGTGAAAACGAGACCTTCCGAAGGTAGCGAGGCTGGGTGACCTGGAGTGTTTGGGGGATGACACCTGTGCTGAGCTTTGCCAGAGAGCAGTTCTTGTTCTCTTCTAGGTGTGTTGGTTCTTGTGGCTGATGCCTGAGCTGTTTGGCACTGTTAGGGAGCTAGAGATGCAAGGAAGGACTGGTGGTGCGTTTTGAGCCTTTTAGGAAGGGCAGGCCTGTGCCAGAGCCATGGGGTTCTGGAGCTGTAACAGGCCTCTCTTCCCTCAGGGGCCTCCAGAGAAGGAAATGTGCACTGGTGTCTTGCTGGGGAGCAGCGTAGAGACTGCCACTTCCCTGTGTGGTGGAAGCCTGGGCTGCATGGAATGTCTCTGTAGGGCTTGTGCAGAAGCGCCTTAGGCTTCTGAAAGGCTCTGCAGATGATGTTGCTCCTGGAAAAGAGGAACTGCCCTGGGGGGAGAGCAGAACTGCCCTGGACTTGAGCCTCCCAGAGCCTTGTGCCTCCCGTGAGGTGGAGCCTGGAGCTCCTGGGCTGTGCTCGTAGGATCTGTGCTCTGCCTGCCTCTGGGAGGGCATCGCTGGTAGCACCAAGATGGGAGAGGGGAGGGGATGCCAAGGCGATGGAGGACTGAAGCACAGGTCTTCTTTCTGTGTTTGAACGTGCCCCAGGTACCAGGAGGGACATCCTGAGAACCAGGTGGCTTTGGTTATCCACATGACTCCAGAGTCCGTGCTCCGAGACAGCCGCTACCAGCAATGGCTGGAAAGGTATGTGATCTTCTGATTATTTGGTTTCATGTCACTGTTGGGGACCTGCGTGTCCTTATGGTGCAGAGGTTTTTCCCAGAGTAGAAATAGCCATTGGCTGGCAGCAGGGCTCTGCTGGCTCAGATGAGATTTTAGCTAACAGCTCAGGTGTGCACATACACCCAACTCTAACATGGCACTGAAGCTGTTGTGCATTTTGTTGTCCTCTTACAGATTTGGACCTGGAACTCAGCACTTGGTGCTCAATGAAAACTGCTCTGCGGTGCACAACCCACGCAGCTACAAGATCCAAACTCAGCTGAACCTCATCCACCCAGAGATCTTCCCTCTGCTCACCACCTACCAGAGCAAGGTAGGCCAGGCCCTGCTTGCCCGTGTACCTCAGGCCCCAGACCAAAGACTGTGTTTAATGTCACTCTTCTCCCTGTAGGCAGAAGAGGCTGTGTGTAGCGTGCCCATTGTGCGAGGAGAGTGCCTCTTGAAATACCACTTCAGACCACAACAGGAGTGGCAGAGGTTGGCGGGAATCTTTGCCTTAGCAGTTTTTGGCTGTTGGCTTGAAGCAGCTTTTCAGCATGAGTCTGTGCTGAGGAGGGATGGTGTGCCAGCATCCTTTGCACATTCTTACTTTACTGGCAGCTGTGCTGGGGTAGCTGTCAGCTGTGTCTTGAGGGGTGTGTCCCTGTCCCTGACAGTCTCGGACAAGGTGTAGGACACGGATGAGTGAACCACTGCAAACACCTTCTGGCCAGTGGTTTGGAAGCTGTTTCTGTCTCTTGCTCTTGTAGCCTCATGTGCTCCTTTGTCATTTGCTCTGACCTCAAGTGCTGTGTACCCAGCTGTGGCTGTGGCAGACCAGATGGTGGCAAGGACGAAGATTTTTTGGGGAGCCCAGTGAAAGTCTTATCAGGCTTTCTGGGTCTTCAAATGGTATCAGAGCTGAAAGCCCCAGGTAGTTAAACAGTTGCAGAATTCTTCGCTGGTGCTCGCTTTGTGGGCAAGTAGGTGAATGTGCTCAATGAGCATCTCAAGGTCAGGCACCATGTGGTGCAAGGGGATACTAGCTGCTGTGGCTCAAATTTCTGGCTCTGTCGGGCAGAATAGGAGGACCCAGATGCCAGTAAGAGTTTCAGTTTCTCTGCTTAAGGTGTCTGAAGGCCTGTAATACTGCACATGCTCTGGTGCAGGACCGGGACACAGGCCCCTTATGCTTTTGAGTGATGCCTGGAGCCCTTTTGGGTGGCTGTTCCTGTTCCAAGAGTCTCTGTGCTGCCTTGCAGTGCCCTCTAGTGCCTGGCAGCTCTCTGAATCTGGACAGCTCAGGGGAGCTATTCCAGGAACTTCTCCGGTTTGGCAGAATGATTATTTCTGTGGTGTAGCTCAGCCCAACCAGGCCTTTTTGGTGCACACCACACTCATGGATGTATCTTTTTTGCAACCCCTCATAATGGAACTCGGAAGGAGCATTTGACTCTTTGTTGTAAGGCTGTTTTGGCACAGTAATTTGGCACTTTGCTCTGAAAAGTGTTGTGTTTTCAGTTCTTACCCTGCCCCATCCTGATACATAGCTTGTTCTTTCAGAGATGCTGTGACTGTCTGTGATCATGATGCATTTGTTAGTGAAGCCTTGGATCTCCCTGACTTCCAGACTCGTGTGAAGGAGTGCAAAGAGAGCCTGTCTGCTGTACCGGGTAAGGATCAGCAACTTCTCTTGGGTCAGTGTAGTGGGAAGTAAGAGGTCTTGGTGACCCACTGCTTTAGAGCCCAGGCAAAGCTGTGAACATGCAGCTTTCTTGCTGCCTCAGAGGTGCTCTTAAGTCCTCCTGGAGCTGTGCAGAGGACAGGCTTAGCGCAAACTGAGGTAGTTTGTTTCAGTTGGATTTATGGAGTCTTGTGCTTCTGGTTTTCTAAAGCTGCTAGGTTTGGGGATTGAGCGTTGTTGGGATCAATTAACATACAATAACAGAGAAATAACATACGGGTGCTTTGTATGAGGTGACCAGAGCTCTGCTCGTGTTGAATGCTGTCATAGCAGCCACAGTGCGAGTCCCTGTGTCTGGGAGAAGTCATGCTCTAGAACCCACTCCTTGTGGGGCACTCTCCTCTGAATTTCAGTTGTCCTGTTGGCAGTGAGGCTTTCATGATGTGACACAGCACTGCTCATTCGCTGTCTGGATCCTGATTCTGGGGAGAGTCAGGGCACTGTAGAACAGCAGTCAGGTCCCTCTTGAACTGCCGACTCTGTCTTGGGCAATGAACAGAGTCCTTGTTTACCTGCCTTTGGAGAAGCAGTTATACATTGTGATATGTTTTCTTAGTGGTGCTTGTTCTGTCTTCTGTCTTCCCCTGTAAACCGTGCTGCTGCAGGAAAGCCAGAGGCTGAGGGAGGCAAAAATGAATGTGCTGAACATGCAGACTCTGGAGTTATTAGGCAGTTAAACTAAATGGTGTCTGACTGGCCATGTGAATAACATTTACTTACAAATCCTTGTTGTTTGTTTTCTCCAGGAAATGTGGATGCTTATCCTGAAATTGTCTTCTTGGGAACAGGATCTGCAATTCCAATGAAAATCCGAAATGTCAGTTCAACACTCATAAATACCAGGTAAATATCAGTGTCATGCATTGCTTGGAGAGGCTCAGTGTCTCACGAGGGTGTCGCCTAAGGGCTGTTTTGACCAGTGTGTTGATGACACAGGGAGAGTGCCCCTGTTGTCGAGTCTGGAGGAGTTCAGGCACCTGTCTCGCTTTAGGTGGGGAAGACTTGTGAGCCACCTGTAAAGCCAAATATTTAATGTCTTCATTCATTTTACTACCTGCCCAAACGGCGAGTTCAGCATTGACGTGAGACCAGAATGAGCTATGCAGACAGAACAGTCTTTCTGAAGCCTTGGCTAGTAGGACTGGAGTAGCATTTAGACGTGTAGAGCACTGAGAGTTCTCTGCCTTCCAACCCAAAAGATTCCCCTCCTTGAATGGGCCCTGACCAGAGCACATAGAGTGGCTGATAAATGTCTTTGTCACTTGTCTTGCCAGCTCTACCCGGTCCCTGCTCTTGGACTGTGGAGAAGGAACATTTGGACAGCTCTGTCGCCACTATGGAGAGCAAATTGACCAAGTGCTGTGTAACATAGTAGCTGTGTTTGTGTCTCACATGCATACTGATCATCATTCGGTAGGTTGAGTGTGTTGCAAGAAGGGGTTCTGTGCAGGCATGCTCTGCTGTTTGGGATGCATATGTAGCTTCAGCTGGTGAACATAGGCTGCCTTGCTGTTAGGGCTACGCCTTCCCCTCTGCATTCCCCAGGCACTACTGAATCTGTGTTTCTAATCCCCTCTCCCTTCCTGTTAGGGGTCCCTGCAGAATTGCCTGGATCATCTAGAGCTATAGTTTTATATCAGTGTCCAAACCAGCTCCCCTCAGTGCTTTGCAATAAATGGTCACAGAAGGGCCAGCTGGTCTGTTCTAGATGGGGCCTGATCACAGCAGGCTGTTTGCTGATCTGCTGTCTTGTGTCTGGAAACCACACTGGGTCTGAGATGTTGGGTAGAGACTTTCTGCTCTCCACCCTTCTTTTGGGAGCAGACACAGCAGCACTGGGAAGGGCTGAGGGGCTTGTGCTTGATAAGCAGTGACAGTGTTACAGCAACTCAGCACGTTGCAGTTATTGGAAAAGCAGTAATGATATTTCTGACTATAGGTTTTCCAAAAACTAAAGCTTGCTGAGCTGCGGTAGCCCTGTTACCACTTACACCCCAGATATTTCTGACTACAGCTCACTGTCTTGTTTATTCCCTTTGCAGGGGTTGTTGAACATTCTGATGGAGAGGCGGAGAGCTTTTGTAAGTAGTACTGTTGTTTCACTGCTCCTGAACTTGCCTTGGGGCGAGGGGAACTTCTGAGTAGTGGAAAAGGACCATCATTTCCCTAGGTATTTCTCGTCTCTGATTTGGTGTATACCTAGTACTGATTTTTTTTCCCTCTGCCTTTGCATTTCCAGGCAGCCCTCGGTCAGGCTTTCAGCCCTCTGTTTCTGGTAGCACCTGAACAGATCATGCCTTGGCTACAAGAGTACCACAACCACTGTGAAGAGATTCTCAGAGACATCAAGTGAGTGTTCTGTGTGATATGTGGAGAAATGTCCTTGCAGGGTCGTTATTCAAGGCAAACTACTGTCAGACATTCCCCCCACCCCTTTGTTGAAGGTGACTCTACCTCCTTCCACTGTGTGTAGGATTAGGATGTGCAGTTTGCAAAGGGGAGGATAGGCTTTGTTACTCATTTGTGCTACTTACTAGAGGCTTACGTGCAGGCTTTCCCTTTCCTTAGGAAAGGGGAGTTGGGCAAGTGAAAAAAGATTCCTTTTGACAGTGGGGAAGAAGTGATTGGATTAATTACTGGGGCACTGGGTAGTGAAAGCAAGGGGAGAAACAAATGGGTGCACAAAAATGTTAAAAAGTAAGGTGCTGAACTGAGAAGGGGAAATAGGCTGCTTAAAGATAAGATTGGGTTTTACTTTGTACCTGTCCTTAGTTATCTCTTCTCCCCTCCCTCACAGAATGATTACTTCCCAGTCTCTTGTGAAAGGCTGTGAGAACATCAAAGTTAAAGCCAAAGGGCTTGTGAGTTCTCTGTTAGAGAACTATGACTTGGCTGAGGTAAGCGCACGAGCTGGCAGGGTCAGTTGCTGTGAAGGGCAAGAGGGAACCTGAAGTCTAACACTTGTATCCTTGTTCAGTTTCAGACTTGTGAAGTCCAGCACTGTAGAAATGCTTTTGCATGTTCAGTGGTCCACAAATCTGGCTGGAAAGTAGTCTATTCTGGTGACACAATGCCCTGCATGGCCTTAGTACAAATGGGTAGGTGACAAAAACCCTCTGCTTGAAGACTCTCTTGGAGAAAGATCTTGAACTGTTAGTATCCGAAGCAGGCACCTCCAACCCTTGGTACTGTGCCTGTGACACAATAAGGGGCTAAGGGGGGAAGTGGGAGTTCATGGAGGCAGTTGAACTAGTGTGTATTCAGCTGAGGGTTGAATGTATGATTATTTACACAGGTAAAAATGCTACCCTGCTGATCCATGAAGCAACGTTGGAAGATGGCATGGAAAAAGAAGCTCTAGAGAAGACACACAGGTGGGGTGTGTTCTGCTGCCTGTCACTGTTAGGAAGGCAGAGATGCTGAGCTGGGTTTTGTCTTCAGAGCGGGTGGCCCAAATGTTGTAGATGGTTCTGATGCGTGTAGAGCTCTTCAGCACTAAAAATGGTGTGTTGATTGTTGCACCAGCTCTGTAACCCTCACAGCTCCTCTGAACATCCCCAAAAAGAAATGAAGGAAGCTTTTAAGTAGATGGTAGTAACTCTACAAATAGACTAGCCCGAAGGAGAGGGCCTCTGCTTGATTACATTTTAGGACTAAGCTTGGGGCTTGAACTGAGCACTGCAGCCAGTGATACCGAGTGCTGCCTGCAGCAAAAGTGGGGAGATCTGAGAGCAGCTTCTCAGAATTACATGTGAATTACAGTGCAAGAGAGCCGGACTTGCTGGCACCCTGGGACAAGTATTTGAATAAGCCCCTGTCCCCAGTTTGTGGAGCTCTTAAATGCAGAGCTCCATGTAATTACAGCTGCTTTCCTGCACTCAGAGTTGTTTGGAAGGCAGAGACTTGCCACTAGTGCAGGTTGCCAGAGGAAGAGGTGCCTGGGTGTGACTGCGAAGAGCAGGGGTGCCCTGTGCGCAGCAAGTGTGAGGTAGCGTCTAGTGTCGGCCGTTGCTGTGATGTGACCTTAGATGCAGAGCAGCCCGCCCTGCCCTGTTGGAGGGGCGGTACGAGCCAGCCTGCATGTGACCAGGGTGTGCAGTGCCATGTTCCTGTTCCCTTTGCAGCACGACCTCCCAGGCGATTCAGACTGGGATGAAGATGAATGCAGAGTTCATCATGCTCAACCACTTCAGTCAGAGATACGCCAAGATCCCGCTGTTCAGTGAAGACTTCAGTGGGAAGTTTGGAATTGCATTCGATCATATGAGGGTGAGTTGGGAGCTTTGAGCCGGACTGTGGGAAAGGTTCCAGTGATACTTTGGGATGGCTGCTCGTGAATTAAATACACCCTCTCCTTTTGAAGAGTAGTCTTCTCCGAAACAGCTATTTAACTGCTGGCAGCAGACACCACCAACATGGGGAGAGGGTGGCACAGGTGCTGATGGCTCTTGAGAACAGAATTCCACTCTTAGCATACTGGGTACTTGCCTTGTGTTGCTTCTCTTCTGTACATGCTAATCCCAGCTGAACGCCTAATTTTATTTCCATCCACACTCCCTTCTCAACCGGTGTGCTGCTTGAATGGCTTTCTGCAAGAGATGTCTCAGAGCCAAAAGCTGCTGCCGTTGGATTGAACACAGTTGTAGCAGGGAGAGTAGCTCGCTAATCGGTCAGAACTTGTACAGAGTCCGCATTATTTCTTGTGAAGAAAATGTAAATAACTTGGTGTATGGGATCTATGGACAGGCTGCTGTTGGGTTGCAAATAATGATCTGCTCGTTAGTGTCAACGCAGCTGAAAATTGTCCGTGAGGTTAGGGCTCCCTGCACTGGACGCTGCACAGAGGAGGAGGCAGTGCTCGGCCCCCTCAGCAGGCGAGAGATGGGAGGAGAAGGGAAAACAAAAAACAATTCTCACATGGGTGCACCTGTGCTTTCTGTATTTCAGGTGCGTTTTGGTGACTTTCCGACCATCCCGAAGCTGATCCCGCCTCTGAAAGCTTTGTTTGCGGATGACATAGTAGAAATGGAGGAGCGGAAGGAAAAACGGGAGATGCGGCTTCTGAAGGAGGCTGCTATAGTCTTGGATGAACTGTCTGGTGGTGAGAACAAGGAGGTGCCATACCAGAAACGGAAACAAGCCAAGAACCATCAGGAACTACCCAACAAGAAGCTTAAAACAGTAAACTGAAGGAAACAAGGTTGAGAACGCTCTGCTCTGCAAGAGGTGCCTTGCTCAGGCCTCAGGAGTGCACAGTGCCGCGGGCACCGTGGAAAAAAGGGGCTGGCCTCAGCTTGGTCATGGGTTTGCTTGGTCATCGGTGATCTCCGTGGGCTGAAGCTACCAAGCATGCTGTTAGCAGCGCGAGTCCTTGTGGCGACAGTATCTGCCCATACGGTTCCTGTCCTGGGTCTCGCCAGTCCATGTGTCATTTTTCTTTTAGCCAAAAGTTCTTCCCTCTGGACTGTTTTAATCTGTGGTTTTATGCTACAAGCTATTGATAATGTAACAGCAGCAGCTGTGACCTTTGCCAAGAAGAGATCAGGTTTGAGAAGCCCTTGAAGGGGCTGTGGATTTGCCAGAACAAGGTGGGCAGGTCTCTAGGTTATGAGGAATGTAACTAGGTATCGGAACCCAGATCACAGGAGGAAATCTCACAATAAAATGGGACCCAAGTAATTTTTAGGTTAATAGGGATATGAATGCTGCTGTATTCCCATTTTATTTTGGTTTTCTTGGCTAATTTTTTTTTTTCTAAGATCAGTTTTTTCAAACCCTTTATTTAGAATCTGAATAAACCACTCAACATGGTACAGGACGCTGTGTTTTGTCTGGATTGCTAATGAGGACTTAGTGAGGGAAAACAAATACCTGAATTGCTCCAGAGAATGATGTCGGTTGGCTGTTTCTGTGTTACAGTATTGGTGTAAAGACCAGGATCTCACCCTGATGCTGGAGCCTCATGCCTGTTCTGGTAGTGTTTTGTGCTGGCAAAATCACATCATATCTGCTGTTACCCTACAGACGGGAGCTTCACTTGTCGATTCAAATTGGTAACAACTGGGGGTGGCTTTTGAATGGCTCCACAACAGACAGCTGAGAGTTTCCTCGAGCATCCAGAACTGGAATCTGCAGAGGACAGGAAAGCTGGCAAAGCAGTTGGATATGAAGAAGGTGTGTGGTTAAGATGAAGGGTTTTGAGGCTTCCTGTGGGTCAGCTTTACTTCTTCCTTGCTGTTGCTGTAACTGCATGTGTTTGGAAGCAGGAGGGGGAGCTTTGTGCTGTTTCAATTAAGCTCGTTTTCAGAGGTAACTCAAAGGCACCAGGCCCCCAAGTGCCGCTCAGCAAACAATACCAGCACATATTAAAGATTTAAGACTTCATTTTAAGGTGATGGAAAATCAAGACACAACCTGGCAGCAGAGTATCTTTTGTTGATGAGCTGTGCTTTAATATTATGCTTGTCTAAAGTAGAAACCGGGTCATTATCACAGCTGGGTACTACAAAAAACGGTCTGCTGGTCTTTCAAGAATAGCAGGGATGTGGGGAAAGGCTAAGGAAGCAGTTGTGCTGGCACGGGGTAGATGGGCGTGGGGGGGTGCTGGGGCATGGGTACTGCTGGGGGGAGAGCAGCAGCCCCGGAACTGCACGGGATCCCCCTGCTGCTGTTGGGAGAAGTAAAGAAGGGTCTTCTATTTAGAAAATAATGAACTACTTCTCATGTAAAGGTATTAACAGAAGGCAAATTCAGCAGCGACAGCCCAGCCGGCAAGCACGGTGCGTGGGGGGTAACACGATAGGGGGTGGGGAAAGGGACGTGCCTGTGCCCGGTGTGGAAACACGACCCGGGGCTGTGCTCGGGAGCTTCCTCCGGAGCGAGCCGGGGAGAAACTGCTCCTGGGGCGCCGCAGCTGTACCG